CCTGAGCTGACTACATCGCTTTGTAAATTAATACTGCTTCCACTGGAACAAGTGATAGAGAGGATGCAGTTTTTCTTATTTAACAGGATTTTTATTGCTTGTTACTCCTAAACCACAAAGACATACTGTCCTCATATAAATTTGTATACAGGGGTGGAAATGCCCCAGCATTAAGAATGACACARATTGAGTTCCCTGCTCTGAATTGTTAAGTCATCCCAACGCTGACTGAATAGGGATGTCTAAATGGGCACATTGACTTCCTCGCATCTGCGTCTCAGCCGGCCACTCTGCAATTTGTCATCATTCCTTCTTGCATCAGTACGACACCCTAAAACGCCTGCTGGGTTTCATGGATTTTAGCCTTYCCTTCTCATCCTGTACTTTTTCTCCTGCAGCTTTTGTATGCACGTGGGTCCCATACTAGCCTGCCTGCCTTTGCTGCATTCTCATTCTCCCAAGCTCAGATGCTGACTTCTTTCTGTTCTTCCTCTTTTTCCACACCTCACTCATGGGCTAATGAACTCCTCCTTTTCCTCTCTCTTTTTTTTAAGGTGATTTCACCCTCTGACTTCAGTTTTTCCCATATAGCTGATAATTCAGCTATACCCCTTCATCCTGGCTTTTTCTCCTGAATCCTGCTCTTGCTATATGCTGTGAGTCTGAGCTCATAGATCTGATGGCACATCAACATCTTCAACTCAACTCAGCCATAGCCAAACTCTTTCCCATGCCTTGGCATAGTTTATGTTGGGCTTCACCCCCTTCCTTTTTCACTCTCTCATTCTTGTAAGTGCCCACATTTTTAAATCCCACTCCAAATTCATGAAATACTTTTTTGGATGCATGCTAATTCATGGCAAACATCAAACATCTCATATTTCTGGACCCATAAATCCCAGACAAAACCAAATCTTTTCAAGCTCCAAGGAACCACACAAGGACAGCAGCAAACACCACCAAGCACCGCGAYGCTGCGGTTCATTGCTAGACTTCAGGCAACTGAACACGAGCTGTATTCAGTTGAAATGTCAGATCTAAAAATCATCTCAGCATGGTGCAAATGGCCTGGTTTTTTTTTTCCCCCTTTTTGATTCTTATTGTTTCAGTTTTGTTTATTCTTATGTAACCTGTCAGCAAAAGTTACTTTGCTCCTTAGCTGGTTGTGGTACCCTGCTACAGAGAAGGACAGCTTTGCTTCTGCTCCTGCCTGATGCTGTTACCGTATTCACCCTCCTTCACTGGCTGTAATGCTGTGGCTGTCTATGTGAGTGGCATTAGTCACATTCAATAACATGTTGCTTTTGTGGCTTCATACATGTTCCCATGCCTATGACAGGAAGGATTTAATGCGGGCACTTTGCTTCTAAAGTGTTGAGGTCAGCAGGAGCTATGGCTGGGCAGCCTGGAGGTGGCAGGACCATTTCTACATATAAAGCCATCAGTTTTCCCAGGAACTCTGCAGATTTGGGTACCTCTCAAACACTGTGAGATTTTGTGAATCTGATCTGCTTTGGTGTGGAACAGGGAAAATTAGTAAGAAACATGGCATGGCCTTTTTTCCCCTTTTCTGCAGTTCTCCCAGTAAAGCAGATGAGAGACAGATCTTGCTTACAGCATTCAGGGATGGCTCCATACATCCAACCCCCTGCCTGCCCCCCTCCCTGTACCGCTGCTCTAAGCAAGGGCACACAAGTCATACATGGGAGACCAGCAACAGTTTCACTTCTACCTAATATTGCACTTCCAGCTTATTTTCCGTGTCTGCCTGTCTCAGTTGTCAGATTCCAGCTCGAAGTATTTGTAAACAACGCTCAAGAAACTCCTAACTTTGCCTCAAGTGCYGCATCATGGATATTGCAGTCGTGAAACGAATGCCCCTAGGAGGAAGGCAGATGTATTCAGTAACCTACCCCGTGGCATGGAGCTGCGTGCTGCACCGAGCAATGCCGGCAATCAACCGTTCCACGTGCGCCTACGCTGCACCTTCCCCTCGCTTTATCAGTGTCTAATTAAATTTCAGTCAACCTGAACAAAAAGATCCACGTTTGTKGTAGGCAGTAAATAAGGATGTGCTGGAAAATGAATATGTACGACTTTTTGCCACATGTTGAAGAAGAAAACTATATACTGAGCAGCTGAATTATCTGCAAATTCTCATGTGAATTRACAGTGATTTTTAAAACTGCGCTTAAAAATACAGATCGTCATAGCAGGGACATCAGTAAGATGGCATTTTCCAACATAAAGAATTAATCCAAGAGAGAACTAGTCAATTAACATTTTCTCTTTATACATAGCACTCTAACAGATTAAATTAGGATAATGTTAACATTTCTTTTCAAAAAAGCATATAGCTTACGAAAGACTTTAACAAAACAATCATTTGCTAGCTTGCAATAGGAAGGAGTTCCTTGAAAGTATCTGCAAGTAGGAAGCTGGTGGTTCCTCAAATATGGAAGAGC